TATGATGCGAGTAGTCAACAGTTTTGTCGCTTCTTTGTGTCATTCGCTGCGTGTATTTCTGGGTTCAATTCTTGTCGGCCTTTATTATTCCTGGATGGAACATTCCTCAAAAGAAAGTACAAAGGTCAACTACTTGCGGCAACGGCGAAAGATGGAAACAATGGTTAGTATTTTTTTTAGTTGTCTATTCATGTAAATATTCACATTGAGCAGCATAGTGTGGACATATGACAAACGATTACAATGTGTTCCATATTTATACTAGTGTCAATGTTTACATCAATACACATTGATGTGAACAACAACATAATATAACTGATTAAGAAATTAACAGTAATGTGAACATTCACATTAGTATACACTAATGTGAATGTTCACACCAGTGTCTACTAATGTGAGTTTATCCATTAATGGACATGAATGTGAATGTCATTGATGTTTACGATCCCAAATCCAAAAACAACAATAGTAATAGGGCAATGTAGATATAAACATTCACATGACCTGTTTCCTTCATATTGTTTTCTATTCACTTTGGAATATTGTGAACAGTTGTTTAATGGTGTTGTGTTGTAGGTCTATTTCCTGTTGCATTTATGATTGTTGATTCAAAGACCACGGCCAATTGGTCGTTGTTCTTGCACGAACTTGGGAAGGTTGTTGATGGTAAGTGCCAGATTACTTTTATTTCAGATCGCAAACTTGGTCTGTTAGAAGCTATGCCAAAGGTGTTTCCACGGTTATTGCTTACAACAATTAAAGAGACCGGATGAAAGAAATTGATAATGGATTTAGGGATCACCTAGTTAGTAGTTTGGGTGACTATGCTTACGAGCCAACTGTGGTAGGGTCCATGAAAAGCTTGCGAAATTAAAAAATGAGGGTAAGCAACGAGCACATAATTTTTTCAAGGACTTGGCACCTGAGCACTGGGCAAATTCATACTTCAGGTAATAGTAGTTTCCTAATGTATTCCACTTATCAAGTTTAGAATGGTAGCAATGTGAATTTTCAGTTATGTTTTGTGGCAATGTGAAATTTCATATTCAGTCTCGAAGAAATTAAATTTCGTATTGTACAATATTTGTGATGTTGTGCCGGGGCATGCGTTATGGGGAGATGACATTCAATACAGCGGAGTCATTTAATAATTGGATTAAAGAAGCACGCAATCTTCCTATCACTCAAATGGTGGACACAATTAGTACTCAGTTGATGCGGCAAATGTCTGCACGGCGTAACCAATCAAACAAATAGAATGAGCTTATTTGTCCTACATTTGAAACAATGCTTCTTGATTCGTTCAATGACAGCAGGTCTTGGCAAGTTAGCAAAGCCAATGAGGATGTGTTTGATGTTTATTCGATACCATCTGTTACAGTTGATATTGCAAGGCGTACGTGTTCTTGCTTCGAATGACAAATCAACAGATTCCCATGTGACCATGCTGTGATTTCTATTCAAAAAAGCTATTACAATCTCAATGATTATGTGGAACATTACTTTCATGTAGAGACATATCGTGCAGCCTATTCGGGTGCCATATTCCCTATACCATTGGTGGAAAAGCCGTCTTTTGATTCCACGGACTTCACTATATACCCACCAACTATGAAAAGACCACTCGGAAGGCTGCAAAAGAATATAATCCCATCAAGGGGTGAGAAACTGAAGCAAATAAGGTGCGAGAGATGTGATAAGTTAGGAAGCCATAATCGGAAATCATGCAATGAGCCCATATAGGATGTACATTTTTCATTTCAACATTGTGTTTTACATGAGATTCTTATATTGAATTTTGAAATAAGATTGTGTTGTGTTGGCAAACATTGTGTTATAATAAGATTAAGTTGTGTTGGCAAACTTAGTATTTGATTTGTGTTTTTTCTTTTTCTTGTTGGGTACCAAACTAATATTTTGTTGAAGTTTTAATGATGAATACATGATATGGGCATTCACACTTGCATAAAAGAATCATATTATGTGAAAACTAGCACATGGGTTGAACTTTTTTACATTATTGCTGTCAATATTGACATGAATATGAACTGTGATGTGAACTTTCACATGCATAGAGATTGACATAGTGTGAGCATTCACAACTGTTATGAATAAAAATAAATGTGAATATTCACACATGTGTATGTTATCCGTAATGATGTCATGTTGACAATGTGTACATTCCTGCACAAAATATGTGTATTATAGAACAATCGGGTTCAAACAATCGCATAAATTATGCACATCACAACACAATAGTATATCATAAGTGAATATGAACATTCACATCAGTGGTGTAACTGTGAACATTCACATCTGTAAAACATTACTGCATATGAATATCATAAGTAAATGTTCACATTTGGTAGAGATGAATAACATTCACAACTATTATGAATAAGAACAAATGTGAATATTCACACCTGTGATTGTTATCCGTAATGATGTCATGTAGACAATGTGAA